TATTTATTAGGCCTCGCTCTGTCCATATTTTCCCAAAGGTATGCAATCCCATAAGCATATTTAGAGTTAGTACTACTGATACCCTCCTGAGCAGCAAGGTTTTTTTTTGAGTTGGAGTTTCACTCTGTTGCCCAGGCTGGAGTGCAGTGGCATGCTCACAGCCACTGTAGCCTCTACCTGCTGGGCTCAGGAGATCTTTTCGCCTCAGCCTTCCAAGAAGTTGGAACTAGGCGCACGCTACCATGTCTGGCTAATTTTTGATTTACTGTAGAGATGAAGTCTTGTCAAGTTGCCCGGGCAGGTCTCAAACCCGTGGGCTCAGGCAATTCACTCACCTCGGCCTCCCAAAGCACATCACAGGCTGAGCCACCAGAGCTGGCTAACAGTGTATATTATAATTTGAGCTTTTTGCCTTTGCTTTTCTTCATCTCACTTAACACTTTTTTGTGCTTCCCTCAACAGCTTGTTAATGGGTCTTTTATTTTATTTCTTTAGTTTTTGTAACTTTGTAGCAATGGTGGGCCAGCTTCTAGTAACAAAGTCTGTTTTTGTTTGTTTGAGTTGAAGTCTCACTCTGTCGCCCAGACTGGAGCGCAGTGGCCACACCGGCCACTGCAGCCTCGACCTGCTGGGCTCCAGCAATCCTTCCGCCTCAGCCTTCCAAATAGCTGGAACTACGGGCGCGCGCTACCACGCCTGGCTAATTTTTAATTTATTGTAGAGATGAGGTCTCGCCAAGTTGCCCAGGTGAGTCTCGAACCCGCAGGCTCAGGCAATCCACTCACCTCGGCCTCCCAAAGCATGGGATTACAGGCTGGGCCACTGAGCCCAGTTCAAAGTCTGTTTTTAACAATTTTTGTTTTACAAGGCTTTTGGATTTAATTTAGAATATTTTTTCATTTGGTTTTAGAGTTGTAAAAAAGGCTGTGGAAGTTTCCTCCCTTTCTGGTTGAATTTTAAATGTTTTAGAAATATTTTGAGACCTTGGGGCAGATTTTTTAATGCCTTTAATTACTAGTTTTTTAAAATTTTGCATTTTTACTTTATTTTTGGAGTTATTATTGTTTTATTTTAGGGTTAGTATGGGATACCTTTGTTTAGCAGGCTGTACACCTGGGGTTCGGGAATGATTCCGTTTCGTGATGGACTTAGCTGTTTAATTATTATTTTTACCAGTAAACAAGGTATTTATAATTGGCATTAGTTTTACTTAAGTACATATGCTAGGCTCAAGAAATTGATTAACTTGATTAGCCAATCTTAGTGGGCTTTTTAGGAGTGATTTTATTTTTTAAAATGTTTTGCTTTTGTACTGGTGAGTGGAGAATTTACAAAACCAATTTTGTTGTTGTTGTTGTTCCAGTGGGACTTCCCTTAAGGGGAACAGTTTTCACCTTTTATTTGAATTGAGAGGACAAAAATAGACTTAGGAGCTATTGAGAGACCCAAGAAACCAAGAAACTTAAAAAACAATACTTGCTGTAAAAGTAGTGTTTAGTTCACTATATTTCATATATCCCTACCTCATGTTTACTATATATTTTGTGTATTCCTACCTCATGTATTTTATGAAATCTTAGTACTTTAAATTCTACCTCAAATGAAATCTTAGTACTTTAAATCCTACCTCAGACCCCATAGAATTAGGCATATGTCGGTGCCGGGTCGTGACCAATTGTATAATGGAGTAAGTAGTATTTGTATTTAGAACTCTTGGGTTAAGCATTGTCAGCCCCAAATTAGTAGGCTAACTTCTGCTTTTACAACTGGATGTAAATGATAATGCGATAAGCCCCTTTCAGACATTCCTACAAGGTGGCAGCAGACTCAGAGGCACCAGCTGCTCTCTATCACCGGTTTTTATCCCAGTGATAATTTACACGCAGTGGCTATGTAAACCTGAAGGGATCAAAGACTTTTATAAAAGAAACTGCCTTGCTATAATACGCTTGTGATATTTTATAAATTCCCAGAATTAGTATATGATTTTCTACCCCACATTCACTGTATGTGTTTGCAGCATTCATATTTAAAACTTTGTTAAGTTTGGCTTTTGTTGTCCTATAATGACTATGTTATGTTATGTAAATGTTAAGCTAACAAGCTTTCCTAAGCATACCTTGGGCTGGATCGGTAAACTAAAGGGCTAATGTAACCCTTTGCCTGCCGGCTCAGGTTACTTCATAGGCAGGGACTGTATGGACCTAAATTATCTAAGATTCCACTCTGCCCGTTAAGTGGGTTTCTGTCAATCACAGGCAGCACCCACCAATACCAAGTGTTCCCGTCCCCATTAGGAGAAATTACCCAATCATGAAAAATCAAGTTTAAAGTTCTTTCCCCTCCCTCTGTAATCGTGCATAAAAACTGCTTGCCATTGTGGATTGGGGCTCTGGTCCATGAAGCCTCTACGGGCTTCATGCGTGAGCCCAGACTCGAGCCTGAATAAAGACCCTCGTGTGTTTGCATCGGAGCTGGCTCTTTGTGGTCTCTATCTCTCTCATTAGAGTCCTGGGTTCAACAGAATTTCCAGGAGGAAAGGGAAACCTTTTAATATTTTTTTGGCATGGTTCCAATTCCCTTTTCAAGTAAGGATAAATATGTTGAGAGTTTGGGGGTTTTGACTCCTGAATTCCTGATAGATTTTTGTTTGGGGCCATCCTCCCCCACACACACATACTTCTGGCTTTTTGAGGATTATAAGGCAGGAATACAGGAAAGTGAATTCTAAGGCTTTTTTTTTCTTGTGGGGGCTCAGACCTCCCCCCATTTCCCATTTTAAGGAGAGACATGGGAAGGGCCTGTGGTAGCCAATAAAGGGCATAGTTTTATTTTTTTTAAGATGAAACAGAAGGCTTATTATTTATATAAATTACTAAAATTTGGCCACGCTACTTTTTATTAGAACCGAACTTCGAACTATTTGGGGGAATTTTAACGGAGTTTTTTTGGGTACTTCCAAAGGTTACATTAATTTCCCAAACATCGCCTGCATGTTATACATTAATTGGGTTACCTAGTTAATTTGTATGTTCTATTTATTTACTTATTTTACTTTATTGTTTTTGAGTTGGAGTCTCACTCTGTCGCCCAGACTGGAGTGCAGTGGCTGCTGGCCACCTCAGCCTTGACCTGCTGGGCTCCGGCGATCCTTCTGCCTCAGCCTTCCAAGTAGCTGGAACTACAGGCGCGCGCTACCACGCCCGGCTAATTTTTTGATTTATTGTAGAGATGAGGTCTCGCTGCCCAGGCAGGTCTCGAACCCACGGGCTCAGGTAATCCACTCACCTCAGCCTCCCAAAGGCGCGGAATTATAGGCTGACCCACCGAGCCTGGCTTTATGTTCTATTTATTAACTGGTTAACATAAATATAACAAACTTACTTCATTTGCATGTCTTATTTGCCAACTGGCTTACAAAATTTTGTTTTACTTGGTTGCCATTACAGTTTAAATGAAAAGCCCACCTAAAGTAAAAGCCTGCAAAAAAAAAAAAAAAAAAAAGGAGAAAGTAACTCAGCAAAAAGCAGTTATGTACAGCTTGTAGCTTACTGTCAAAAATAAATAATTCTCTTCCTTACACTCAGCACCCTGCACAATCCTTGGCCATCATTCAGTGCTTGATAAAGGCATGCTGGTTTAACGACAGCATCCTGAACAGATGAACAGAAGTGGGTTCCAACTTTCAAGGAGTTTACCAAAAAAAGCTAGAGACATAAACAACAAATTAATCTAACAAGGAAGAATGAAAAAGCATCACAAAGCAGTATGGACTCCGCAGCAGAACCAGAGAGATCATTCCACCGGGAGAAAGGTGCATCTTCCTTTAGACTTCTTTCTGATTTGAATACAAGTCCACTCCTCTCCCGTGATGACATTTTTACTGAGCATATTTACTGGTATCCTCATCTGTGAAATAAGGCTAAATAATTGCAACTTCACAGGGTTACCGTGAACACGGTTAATTAACGAAATAAAGCACAAAGCTAGGAGCAGCAGCTCACGTCCATAATCCCAGGGCTTTGGGAGACTGACGCCTGAGGATCGCTTGAATCCAGGAGTTCAAGACCAGCCTGGGCAACATAGCAAGGCCCCCGTCTCTACAAAATATTTAAAAATTAGCTAGGTGTGGCGGTGCACGCCTGCAGCCCCAGCTACTCAGGCGGGAGGATCTCCTGAGCCCAGGAGGTCCAGGCTGCAGTGAGTTACGATCACACTACTGCCCTCCAGCCTGGGCGACAGAGCAAGATTCTGTGACCCTGTTTCCCCCCACTCCCACCCCCCCAAAAAGCATGGGAGGTTTATGTAGTTCAGGACGTGCTCCATTAAAAAGTGCTCAGTAAGCCAGGCTCGGTGGCTCAGCCTGTAATCCCACGCTGTGGGGAGGCTGAGGTGAGTGGATTGCCTGAGCCCGCGGGTTCGAGACCCGCCTGGGCAAATTGGCGAGACCTCATCTCTACAATAAATCAAAAAATCAGCCGCGCGTGGTAGCGCATGCCTGTAGTTCCGGCTACTCGGAAGGCTGAGGCGGAAGGATCGCCGGAGCCCAGCAGGTCGAGGCTGCGGTGGCCGGGAGCGGCCACTGCACTCCAGTCTGGACGACCGAGCGAGACTCCAACTCAAAAAAACCCCCCGAAAAACAAAACCTGTTTAGGAAACTCTCGGGTCCTCTAAAACGCTTCGATGTCAATGACATTTGATGTCCACGGAGTCCGTATCCAGGGAGGTCTTCCGTGAGGCGCAGCATCCAACGCATTCCTTCACTAAAAGCCCCGACCTCTCAGCACTCCCTTGGCTGCAGGAGGGTTCTAGACTCACCATGACGCAACAGAGCCGCGGGCAGCGCTGGAACTCCCGAGAAACCGCCCCGAGCCCACGCCGTGGGGCGGAAGAACTACAACTCCCGTCGTGCTTCACTTGCACTTAGGGCTCCTGTATGTTTTATCACTCCCAGCCTCTTCGACGCAGTTCTCAGTAGCTCCGCCCCAAGGCGGGCTCTCTTCTTTCCTTCTGTAGTCTAGAGCCCCGCCCCGGTCACCGGGACAATCTGTGTGACGTCACAAAAACCGACGCGCGGCGCGGGCGGCACTTGGCGGACGGTCCCTGGCTCGGAGGTGGCGGCCCTGCGACGGCGGAAGAGGCTGCCAAGGGCTGCCGCGATGCCTCGCCCCCGGCGGGTCAGTCAGCTCCTGGATCTGTGAGTCCTCCCGGTCCCGCCTCGCGTCGCGCCTCCCCGGCACCTCCTCCTAGCTGCCAGGCCCTGCGCCGCTCGAGCTCCCCGCCCCTTTCGGCCCTGCCGACCTCCGAAGAGGCCCTGCGTGTGCTTCTGCCCTCGGGTTCCTCGTTCGCGTGTCCTCGCCGAGGACCGCGGTGCCTAGTGGGCCGCCGGGCGGGCCTGCCCCGGGCCCTCCGCCTCGGGCCTCCGCCCCGGGCCCTCCGCCCCGGGCCTCCGCCCCGGGCCTCCCCGATGCGTCGCCGGCCCCTCAGGCAGCCTCGACAGCCCAGCGCCCGGTCGCGTCCGGCCGCGCGGCCTGTCTCCGACGGGAGTTAAAAGCCGTTTGACAGAACAAAACGAAACGCTAGAGGAGCCCCTGGGGTCAAGTGATCCTCCCGCCTCGGCCTCCCAAAGGGCTGGGGTTGCAGATATGAGCCACCATGCGTGCACGGTTATTGTTGTTATTGAGTATTTTACTCCAGAGATTGCCTGGAAATTGCAGCTACAGGGGCGATTGCACCTTTCCTGGTGATTTCAGACCATTAATATTGTCATGTAGATCGTTAGACAGCTTAAGGATAAGACCAGTCTCCGTAATCTACTTCTAAAACAGTGGGATTTAACATTTTGCATTGTGTCTCATGAACTCCTGGCCTCAGTCCACGGTCATTTTTCATGAAAGAGGAATCAGTTGGTTCTGCCCTGTGTAAACTCAGTCTTGCGTAGTCCTGATAAACAGATCTTACTTTAGTTCTCGGTATAAATCTTACATCTGATCTAAAATGGCATTTTATTTCCATCAGTAAAGGTAACGGTTAAGAGTGCAAGCTAGGAAGACCGAGTAGCTGGGTTTTACTCATACATCTAACATTTACCAGTTCTGCAGTCTTGAGCAGATAGCATAACCCCTCTGAGTTTGTCTTCTCCCCTGTAAAGGGAAGACAACAGTAACATTGTGAAGATTAAAAGCCAGTCCATGGAAAGCTCATAGAACAGTGCCTGGCACATGGTTCAATATTCATTTGTGATAGTTATTCATATTATTTCCTGCCTACTGGAAAATAGTATCACAAAGAATATGTCACCTAAGCCCTGGCCTTCCTTCTAAGGCTCAGCTTCATTCCTATCCCTTAATTACTGTCCCTTTCCTAAAGTCTTCCTGAGGATTCCATACAAATGGTCCTCTGAACTCCGTGGTCAGAACCAAGTGTTTCCTTCTGTGTCCACAGTTTCTTATTTTTGGAGTTGCTCAGTATTCAATTAAGCATGTGTTTTAAGAGCACACATGACACATGAAGTCCTAGGCTGAAGATTGTGTGAAACCATTAGCACCAAGGAGGTGCTGTCTTGAGGAACTAGTACAAGACAAGTATATAAATAACTATAATATAGTAGGATTGCACCGTAAAAGATAGACTAACAGCACTGTGAAACTTCTGATGAAGTAAAGAACATACAGGACTAGAAAAGGCTTTGCAAAGGAGGTTTATATCTAAAGGCTGGCTGCATGTGACAGTTGCAGACTGGAGGAAATGCTTCCAAGAGGAAGGGCAATAACAAGAATAAAGGCTTGGCAGGCAGGAAGGTTAGAGATACGTGAGAAGGCCAGAAGGTGGTGTTTCACTTTGAATGGAGGATGCCGAATTCATAGCGGAGTAGTGACATAGAAAGCGAATTAATTAGGCTTAGGGACCAGAATGAAGTAAGAGCATTTAATTTTGCAGCAGTAGGGAGCTATCAAAGGTTTTAGAACTGTACTGGGAGCAGAGAGAGATTTGAATTAGGGAGAAGTTGGGAATAGAGAGACACTTAGAAAATTGTTACTGAATCTCAAAAAGAGGAGAGCCCAAACTAGGAGACATATAAAGATGTTCTTTGCATCTGGGGTGGGAGAGTTGTCATGGAATATGATGCAGCTGTTAGGAGAGTAAAGGGGAGTTAGATACAGATTATATGGATGGAAGTTTAAAATAGTGTTTATTTGAAAAAGGAGAAACAATCACATAAGTTAAGACACATTCTCCTATAAATAAAAAATTTGTACTTTGTGGTAACACAAGCCTGTAGTCCCAGTTACTCGGAAGGCTGAAGTGGGAGGATCACTTGAGCCCAGTAGGTTGAGGCTGTAGTGAACCGTGATTGCACCACTGCACTCCAGCCTGGGTGATAGAGTGACCCCTTGTCTCAACAGCAACAACAAAAAAACCCCAAAATTCTTCAAAACTAGGCAGTAAGGCAAAAGGAGGACCACATGGTCTTCACTGTCATACTAGTGTGATTTCCCCATGCAAAGTTCCATTTGCCTTTAGAATCGTATTTTGTACCCTTTGGGGACAAGGAATGGTCTGAGATTGGCAGTTGGTCAGCAAGCTATTTCTGGTTTGTAACAAAGAAGCTTGAACCAGACTAACAATCAACTCTGTCACTAAGCACACTATTTAATTCCATTGATGTGATTTTCTCCATGAAGGATACAGTGCCTGGTTCATGTATTTGCATAAACTCCATATCTCCTCAGTGACCAGCACTTTGAAGAGTACTGCCTCCCTTAGAGACTCCTTTGGATCTGGGACATGATGAATAGTTTTGAATAGAGAAACCAAGGAAGGAGAACAATCAGGAATCAGGAATTACTCTCAAGTGTTTAGCTTTATTCACTAGGAGAATGGTGATTAAACAATTTGGAGGAGGAGGAAGGGGAAGAAGAATCAGAACATCCAGTAGAAATACCAAGTAGGCAGTTAGAATACAATTTTGAATCTGAAAGAGAGATCAGGGATTGAGATTAAGATTAGAGGTAGTCTTTATAGATTATAGATGACGCCATGGTTAAGTTTAAGGGAGAAGACAGAGAAAAAGAAAGCCAAGGAGAAAGTTTTATGCAACACTTAGAAGCAGGCCATTTTGCCGAAAATCATTTCTTTGTTGGATCAATTCAGCATATAATGGATTGGCCAAAAACTAAAATTGTTTCTTTTAACTGTAAAATTTAGAGCATTAATATTAGCTGGAACTGGGTGTGGTGACTCATGCCTGTAATCCCAGCACTTTGGGAGGCGAAGGCAAGAAGATTGCCTGAGCCCAGGGATTTGAGACCAGCCTTGGCGAAATCTTGTCTCTACAATAAATCAAAAAATTATCCGGACGTGTGGCACACGCCTGTGGTTCCAGCTACTTGGAGGCGGAAGGATCACCTGAGCCCAGCAGGTCGAGGCTGCGGTGGCCGCGAGTGTGCCACTGCACTCCAGCCTTGGCGACAGAGTGAGACTCCTACTCATAATATATATTCACTGAATATCCATCCACCCACAGTTCTTTTAACAGCTTGTGAAGATTTTAAATTTTTGCTGACTGCTTTTTACTTTGTCTTGAGGAATGAAACTACCTATGTCAACTACTGGGCCTGAGAATGAGACTACTTATGTCAATATAACTTTTTGCTCTAGGAAATTGTTGTAAATCAGTTTATCTAAATAAGCAGCTATCAGGACAAACATTTTGATTGTTAGAGCAAACAATGTGTTTATTTGGAAAGATTACTCATCAAGGCTCGCTTCAAGACCCTGTGTCCACCAGTCTTAAACTATCATGTCACAGACTTTGCCCAATCCTAACCCATTCCCCATCTCGAGGGTTAAAACCCCCTCTTAACCTACTGGGTTTACATCCCAGACCCCTACGTTTACTCTCGCCTAACTTTCCACTATTGAAACCCTACAAAACCCTATCCAGGTGGTCTCCCCTGCTGTGTAAATTTGGCCAGTATCTTTGTGGCCATTTAATAGTCCTCATAGCAGCATTTTAAGAACTATTTGATTTGTTTCTGTCTCAACTCCCTGCTGCTGCAGGTAGAGGGAACTGGAGCAGAGAAAAGAAACTCATTTACTTTGGGAAACACATGGCACAGCCTGCACTGCTAAGTCAGAGAAGAACATGTAAAGAGTCAAGATAGGTCAAGGCTGCGGTGGCCTGGAGCATGCCACTGCACTCCAGTCTGGGTGGCAGAGTGAGACTCCAACGCAAAAAAACAAAAAAGGGTCAAGATAAAAAAGACTGGAAGGAGAGGGCTGAGGGGCAGGGGTGGGAAAAGGCAGTATTGTGGGGGAAAGGTAACATACTGAAATATAGCTGAAATCTGCATAAAGCAAAATATAGTAGTCTCTACTCATTTGTGGTTTCTGGTACCTGCAGTCAAGTGCATTACAAAAATATTAAATGGAAAATTCCAGAAATAAGCAATTCATAAATGTTCGGTTGTGCACCATTGTGAGTAGCATGATGAAATCTCATGTTGTCCTGCTCCATCCGCCGGGACATGAATTCTGCCATTGTTTAGCATGCCCATTAGTCACTTGCTCAGTGATCAGAGCAACTGTCACAGAGTCACAGTGCTTGTGTTCAAGTGACCCTTTTATTAATAATAGCCCCGAAGAGTAAGATGCTGGCATACTGCTATACTCATCCTATTAGCTGTTGTTAATCTCTTACTGTGCCTAATTTATAAATTAAACCTTATCATACGTAAATATGTATAGGGAAAAGTGTAATGTATATAGGACTTGGTACTGTCCATGGTTTCAGGTATCCACTGGGAATCTTGGAATGTATTTCCGTGGATGAGGTGGGGACTGCTGTGTAAGAGGAGTCACTTCAAGTGTATTAGTTTTCCCCCTACTTACAGAGGTCAAGTGCCAGAGGAACAAGGACAGTTTCACAAAGAGACTTATATTTTTCACCTTGACTGGCATGGGCTACTGTGGGGGGCCTTGGTCAGTAGTGTCCTTAACCAAATAGTATTAATAGTTGTCTCCATTATTAGGAAAGAAGTTGGTAAACCTTCTGTAAAGGGCCAGATTAATAATGCTTTTAGATTTGTGGGCTACACATCCTCTGTCAGTTTCTTCACTCTGTCATTATAGAGCAAAAAGTAGCCATAGACAATACATAAATACATGGGCATGGCAGTATTCCAACAAAACTTG